TCTGATTTGCATCAAATTAAGCTTTTACAACAGCAACTATCTATGTTAAGTGCAAAAGAAATAGAGACAAAATTAAAATATACAAAACAAAGTATTTTGAATCTGCAAATAAGCCAGGGAGATGGCTTGCATATAAATTGAGAAAGGAGAGAGACAAGAAAATGATAATGAAAATCCAAGAACGAAATGGTACCCTCACAGATAATGCAAGTATTCAAAAATCTTTTTATATCTTTTTTCAAATTTATATAAAAGACAAGAAGTTTCATTGAATCATATTGATGCATATTTAAAGAAACAAAATTTACCCAAACTCTCACAATCTCAAAAACAATTATGAATAATCCTGTAACTACTTCTGAAATATCAGAAGCTATTAAAAAGGCTAAAATAGGGAAAGCCCCTGGACCAGATGGATTAATGAATTCTTATTATAAATGTTTTGAAGATGAATTGTTATTACTACTTAAATGGGTGATGAATTCTATTTTAGGGGGCTCAGCAATACCAGAGATTTGAAAGGAAGCTAATATACTGCTACTACCAAAGAGGGTCAAGATCCAACTATGACTAAAGATTACAGACCAATTTCTTTGCTAAATAATGACTTTAAAACTTTTCACATTAATATTAGCAGAGAGATTGAAGATTTGATTAGACTTTATACATGAAGATCAGTGTGGCTTTTTACTTAAAAAAACAACTGAGAGACAATGTAAGAATTGTATTGGATATAGTAGAATATTTATATAAACAATAACGAGAAGCAAGCGGCACTGATTTTTTTGGATGCAAAGAAAGTTTTTGATCATTTAAATTGGATGTTCATTTTTAAAGTTTTGGCAGATATGGATTTTGGTGAGAACTTTCTACAAGGGGTTAAATCGATATACACTTCCCAAAAGGCAAGTATTATTGTTAATGGTGAACTTACAAAACCATGTGAGATACAGAAAGGGACAAGATAAGGTTGTCCTTTGTCTCCTTTACTTTTTATTCTAGTTTTGGAAGTGTTAAATAGAGATATCAGACAAGATGTGAATATAAAAGGCTTACAAATCAAAAAAGAAGTTTTTACAGTAAATTAAGAGTTCTTGTGGATGATTTAGTTTTGATTGTACAGGAACCTCAAAATGGAATTGAATGTTTAATGAAGAAATTGAAACATTTTGGTACACTTGCTGGATTTAATAAACAAAAAAACAAAGATGTTGGTTAAGAATATGACCAATTGTATGTTATATCAAAACAATTATGTTAAAGTCTGGAATGATATTAAAAAGACTTATTGAAATGGGGTAAATTGCAATTGTCACTGTAGGTAGAATCTCAGTAAATAAGATGAATGTTTTACCTAGAGTGCTTTTTCTCTTTCAGACAATGCCGTTATTGACAAATGATGTACCATTTAAACAATGGCAGAAAGATATTGGCAAGGTAAAAAACCAAGAATTAAAATATAAACTTTTACAGGATGCCAAAGAAAGAGGTGGGTTAGGTCTTCCAGATTTAAA